CTAGAATAGCATTAGCTTTTTTTGCTGCTGCATCACACTGTTGACTCATGTTAAGCTTGTGGTCCACCAGGAGCCCTAGGTCCTTTTCACACGTACTGCTAGTAAGCCAGGTGTCGTCCCCCATCCTATATTTATGCATCTGTTTTACACAAAGTGTGTCTGGGGTGGGGTGGGGGGGTGTAATCATATACTAGCAGAGAACTCTTGGGTTGGTGGGGGAGGTTTTCTTTTGTAGGCATGGGTAATAGATAGCACAACTACTGTAAAAATAATAAGCTGGTATAATTAAATTCCGAAATAAATATGCATCTGGGAATGGTGGTATGTTAGATTGAGCTGCAAGCAAATAGTCCAGCGAGCCCAAACAGAGGTGCATACAGGCCTCCCATAGTCAACTGAGGAAAGCTTGAAAGCCCTTTCCTACCAAAACGTTCTAATATCAGGACAGCCAGCCAAGAGTCAGTACACCTGAGCCATTGAACAATATGGGATAGAGGCATAGGCGATGCTGAGCAGGGGGAGGAAGGGAAGGGAAATGGCAAGGCTATTTCCACTGAAGCTCTCTTATTTTAGGATCCAAGCCCAATTTTGGGTAGGTTGCTCCTCCATCAGCGGCCCCCCCCATATTGTTCAGAAAGATCCTTTACTCCCCAGAAAAGCTTTTCAGGACTTAAAAGTTTTGTTGAAAGAGGCGGGTCTTCAGTAGGTGCCAACATGTCCCCAATGGCATGACAGATAAAATACTGGAAGAGTAAAATGTACTGACTTTTTCTCAGTCTCAGGAATATAATTCCAAGTGTTAAAGATATGCAGAAACATTTAGAGTTGTGGTGGGGAACCTGGGGCTCTCTAGAAGTTGCTGGACTACAACTCCCATGGGTTAGGCTGTCAGGGATGATGGGAGTGGGAGTCTAGCAGCATCTGAAAGGCCACTGGTTCCCTATCTCTGGTTTTGAGGCAAAGGATACTATTTCAGGGTGGTGGGAAGGAGACAATATTTACTTTCTGTATATGAAATGAACATGCTGAGCAGAAATAGTGGCAGCCCTGCAGCTTGAAATGGAGGCAGTGCAACTGCCAATCTCTTCTCTAACTCAACTGCTCTTCTGAGTACAATATAGTTGTCAGGGCTGCCTCAAGTCTCAGCTCACAAAAGACCAACGCCTATGTTTATTGCAGTTCATTGTTTGCTT